CAATCTTTTCTTTGAGGGCGAGAGCTGCTTTTGCCCTCAATGTGCAGATGTTATCCCCCCTCGGGGGGGGGGGGGGGGAGGCCGAAGCAACAAAACAGAAAAAAAATGAAATATATGTTTGATCGATATATGCTTGAAATGAAACATATATATATGATCGGAGATCGCATTGGGGCCGAGCCTGTGTAGTAAACATTGCCCTAAGGGCGTCTGCGACCAACGATTAATTTGTCTAAGATGATGAGCTTCCCGCAGCTCTGCAAAGGAGTTATGTACCCCCAGTGCCGCGAATCGGCTGTTGGAGGTGGCAATGGGAAGGCCGAGTGCACGTTTGTATACCGAACGAAGGAGGACGTCCAGCTGCTGCTTGTGGTGACGACGCAGGCGAAGGTAAGGTGAGACGTACAGGACGCAACTTGTCACAAACGCATTGGCCAACCGCATGAACTGGGTCCCACGGAGGCCGCCGCACTTGGTAGATACCTGCCGTGTCGTATGGCTCACCTGTTCGCTGGTGCGTCGGAGGCTTGCTATTGTGTCCTTGGGATCCAAAGATGAAGTGGTGTGGAGCCTAAGAATTCGAATTTTCTCGACTGACGGAACGGGACCAGACTGAAGCAAAACCTGGGGTGGAGGTGAGTCGGATAGCGAGAGAACAGCCAATTTAGCTGGAGAGCACTCTAGGCCACACAAAGCAGCGTAGGCGTTCACCAGAAGGGCAGCCTTTTGTAGGCGCTCTTCGATTTCTGCTGGGGAGCCGGGGTTGGTCCAAATTGTAATATCGTCGGCATTATAGTGCGTGGTGTATTCCCCAACCTCGCGCAGAAGGGAGGGGAGGTTCCTCATGGCCAGGTTAAAGAGTAGAGGTGACAGTGCAGCACCTTGGGTTGTACCCTGTGTGCCTAACAGGTAAGGGCCATGTTCGATAGAATCGAGGTGAATGAAAGCGCCGCGATGACATAGGAAGCCTCGAATGTAATTGTATGTCTTCTAGCTGCAGTTTGTGGTAGAGAGGCTAAAAAGAATACTACTGTGTTTGACGTTATGAAACGCTCCTCTAAGATAGAGTGCGAGCACGGCTTTATCGTTGCAGCGCATAGTGGTCGGTTCTATGATGTCGTGTTGAAGCTGGAGCAGGATGTCCTGCACCGACAGATGTGGGCGAAGGCCAAGCATTGTGTCAGCAAAGGTCCCGCTTGCCTCTAGGTAGACAGAAAGGCGTTTACGGACCATGGTTTTCATGAGCTTTCCGGCGCAGGAGGTTAGTGAGATTGGTCTGAGTGCCTTGATGCTGACCGGTTTGGCCGATTTGGTTATGAATGTGACGAGTGATGTCGTCCATTACGATGGAAGCGGGGAGCCATCCCATAACAAGTTTATCAAGTGGAGTAGTGAGCGGTGTGCTTTGTCGGAGAGGTTAGCCAGAAGCGACACTGTGATGCCATCCCGCCAAGGGGCCGTGCCCCGTCGCATTTTCGCCAGTGCAGCCCGTAAATCTGAAAGCTTGTATGGCGCATCGAGCTTGGCGTTAGGGGTGCCGGAATACATATATGGCCTATACATATACATATATGACCTATGGGGTCACTTGTGGGACAAATGTATCGGTCGCACAATTCTCGTGCGAGTTGATCTGTAGTGCCCTGATAGGCATGGAGAGCACGACGGAGCTGGCGTTGCGTTTCTGCTTGAGTGCTGGAGGAATCTAGAAGGCTACGACTTAGCCGCCAGGTGCCCTTAGAGCTCATCTGGCTCGCCGCCTTCGTGCAGGTGTCAGCCCAGTTTGAATCGGCAAGAGCGAAAGGAGCCTCCGCAGTGAGCACCTGACTGTGAGCGCGAAGTTTTCGATTGAGTTTGTTACATTTCCAGCGCATTATAAGCCCGTGGTGAGCGTTGCAGAGATGTAAAAGGTGTGGGTCTATTGCAGGAGTCAAATTAGAGGTTTTGAGGGTGCAGTGTGTTTGCCTGCTGCATATGAAGAACGTAGGATGTCCACGTCGCATATTCGCTCGAGCTGGGGATCATAGGAAATGACTGCATTCTGAATTTAGCCCGGTCTGTGAGACGGGCCAGGCCCCAGTATTAGCACACTTTCTGCTGTGGAGTGAAGGAAATGCGAAGCAAAAAGTGGTCACTTCCCAAAGTCTCACCCAAGTGTGAACTTACTTACAGCGCAACACCAGAAAAAATACAGGACAGGGAAGGAGTAGAACAGAAAGAAAAGACCTCCCTGTCCTGTATTTTTTCTGGTGTTGCGCTGTAAGTAAGTTCACGATGGATTCTAACCAACTGGCCCAACTTACCGTCTTACTACAATATGTCTCACCTAAGTTTTCCCATGCAGCATCGCGATTGTTACAAGTCAGGGAGAGGTCGGGGCATGTGTCTCGTGTGGCCGAATTGCCGAAACGCGTGGGCTTTGCTGGATCGGTAAGCAGCGTGAGGCTAAGCAAGGAGATGAGCTCCTTGAGTTATCTTCCCCGGACCTTCTCATAGTGGTAACCCCAGTGAGGGCTGGGGGCATTGAAGTCCCCGACAATCACCAGGGGTTGACGGTCTGCCGTGCGCAATGCCCTATGAAACAGATTCGTAAAGGAGGCCCTCGCAAAACGAGGGGGACAATACAGGTTTAATATCTGAATTAATGGTTGGCCTCTTCGTTGAAACAGTATTGAAATTATACAATAGTCGTACGGGAGATCCAGATCGAGGTCAACCTGTATCGCCGTGTACACCTTATGCACAAGAAGGCATGCAGTGGTGCCTCCCACATAGGAGCAATATTCAGAAAGAGTTGGCGTTGCGCCAGATTCTTGAAGTGCCAACTCGGTCGGCTGTGAGCAAAGTGAGTGGAGGAAGAATGAAAGGTGTGAGCACTTTCGCCTGTTCCCGAACCCTCTAGAGTTCCACTGTATGATCTCGAATTTAGATGACAAATTAGAAAGAGATGTATGGTTGGTAGCCATGATGAATATCCTAGGTTTTATATTTCACCCTCCATGTCTTGCTCAGAGCCTTGAGAGGTAGGGAGGGGTACGGAGGCCGGATTGTCGGACAGCGAAGGGGTGGTAGCCACCTTAAAATGACGTTGGGGAGCTGAACCCGTACTGCAAACCGAAGAGGAGCGCGAACGCGATTCTTTGGGTTGAAACTGAGTAATTGCCCTCAGTTTCATCGTCTAGACTTGGGTTTCACTGCTAGTATTAGCAGCTAATATGATTGATGTGTTTATTTTTTATTTTTATTTTATTTAATACATACTGCAGACCACACTTCGGTCCAAGCAGGAGGGCATGGTGTAATGCAAAGAGAAACACAATACACGCAAAACAAAACAAAAAAACAGTGCACAGTTACTCAGTATCGCAAGTACTACATTCGATTGTCTGGTTCCAGTCTGAAATGGTGCGTGGAAAAAATGAAAATTTGAACGTGTCCGTTCTCGCGAAGTACGGAGTTAGTGCATTTGGTTGGCGATGTCTTGTCGGTCTTGTGTTTAATGGAGAAAGAAAAGGGGTTGGATCAAGGGAAAGTTTGCGATTATATAAGAGAGACAGAAAATCAAGGCGGGACTTCTTTCTACGATCCTGAAGGGAAGGAATATTATTAGCTAGCATTAGGTCTGTGGGGGAGTTCGTTCGCAAAAACCTAGAATAAACAAACCGAATGGCCTTCCGCTGAATCCTTTCAAGTTTTTTAACGTTTTGTTTAGTATGGGGGTCCCACATGATACTCGCATACTCCAGCTTCGGCCTAACGAAAGTGAAATAACTAAGAAGCTTTACGTTTGGAGGGGAATTTCTGAGCTTATATCTTAGGAAGCATAATTTCCGAAAGGCAGACGAGCAAATATTATCTAAGTTGTTAGCGTAACGCCGAGGTACTTATAACTGTCAATCTGTGTGAGAGAAGACGATCCTAATTTATACACGTGTTCACTAAGGTTTTTCTTTCCCGTTACACAGAGATATACACTTTTTTCCAAATTTAATTCCATTCCCCATTCTACACACCACTCCCGCACGTTTTCATTTTACATGGACTGATGCACCAGTTTGTGCAGATTCCGGAATCTGACTCAACTGCTGGTGTCCTTGTTTGTGCAAGGACAACTCAAGATGAAGTATTTAGTGTACGCTTGCAAGTCTTATGTTTTGTAAAAATTGAGCCCGCCCTCTTTATTGCTGTTTTCTTTGTGAATGTTAAACCAGTTTTCAAAAGCTAATGCATGGACTTGGACAACTCCTCGAAAGAGAAAACCTGGCATGCAAGTTGGCAGCAGCTACAGACTTCATTCTCCACAATGTACAACAGGCTAAAAATAATTGTTTGCTGGCTGCTGCTTTCCTTGCCCTATCGTTTTTCTTGTTTGAGCACCATACATACAACTGTAGGGATAGCAATCGACAGAATCAAAAGTGACATCTTTGAGCACTTTCAATGTATGCTTTGTAGTAGTGGTCAGTGGGCTCATCACAGTGAATTATTGTTTCACAATTTGAAGTCAGAGCAAGCTAACAAAATGCAGATGTGTGTAAGCATTGTGCTTGCCTGCTCTACTATATCTTTTGCGGTGTTGTTGCTTGCGCCTGCATGTCTTTCAGTAGTCAGGAGTGTGCTGGAAAAAAAAAAATGGAACTAGGCCAATATTTTTTCATTGGTTCGAAGGTTGCATTGTTGGTCTACTGGAATAAATGGTAGTGGACGCTAAAAATGCTATTGTTTTCTTGAATGGGCACTCTGCTAGCACTAAATAAGCACTTCTAGGTATCCAGAATGGTTTTTTCATAATGCATGTAGACTTAACGCTCACATTTAGTACCCCTTTAAGAGGCATAATTACTTGACAGTCCTTCCTCCTCTTGGAATGTTTGGACACCTTTCAGATGCATTTGTTTCTTTGACCTTATAACACTCACGCTGTTGGTCTAGCGTCATTTATAATTGTAAAGAAGTGTTCAGCCAGCCTCTATACTTACTCCAGTGTTCTTGTCTTTCAGGGGACCCGTACAACAATAGTTCAGGCACCCTAGACCCTTTCAAGACCCTATTTGTGGCACGGATTGTGAGTATGGTTGCTTCGGGGTATATCTGGGGGGTTGCTCATCATGATCAGCCTACTTTATGTCCACTGAATGATGAAGACCTTTCACAATAATCTCTAATCCACCGTATCTTGTGTGAGCCGAGTTGTTTATTTTCATAAGTTACTCATTTCATTAATGGGACTGCGGACTGCTCGGAAAAAATTTGCAGATTGTGGCGCAAATGAAAAGATTGTTCATCACATCGGTGGCATGCTTTTGTCCACTAAAAAAAGGAATTATAATTTTGTCTTAATGTTTAAAGTCGACCAAAAGTCACCGCTAGCGTGGCCCAACAGCAATGTGGTAAATCTGCTGGTAGGACAACAAATCCTCGCTCATTTCAGTTTATACATTAATTTGCTTAAAAACAAACATCTATAACTTGAAAGAGTATTTTACGCACTTGATGCAGCTTTAGGCTGTGCCAGAGATAAATTTTAGTTTTTTTTTTTTGTCAGGCGTTCAAATAGGCGCCCGGTAGCACTGCCAGCGGCGTGTTTGCTTGCCTGTATGCCTGCCTGCAAACGGCGCAGAAACGCGAACAGGGCATTTGCCGCTCCTCATAAGAACAACAAGAAATAGTGTGCGTGACTTAAACGACCACTAAGGTATTTGTTTTATAAATAAACAAGGCCTCCAAAAACTAGGCAGATTTAGTTTTTGACTTCCACTGGCAGTAAAATTGTCATTGCTTTCACCGACCAGTGTTGTGGGCATTCATACCACTGCCAGAAGGACACCGAATTTTGATAAAAAAATTCAGTTTTAAAACTTTCTACACACTTTCCAAAGAAAGCACTGCAAGGTAAGACATTTTAATTTGTTTGCTTTTTTATTCTGACACAAAACAGAAAAGCACTGAAGGACAATCCCTTTAAAACAAGGGTAGGTTTGGCTCGTCAGGATAATTTACAAGAATAACACTGTGTACATTGTTGCCAGTCATTCTTCCTGTCATTATGCAGACCCTAATATTTTAAGTGCATCATAAGGCAGGCAAAATATTGAAGCCACAGTGGCAGCATAGACAGTTTTCTAACACTTCAACGAAAACATGGATGGGAAATATGTCAACCCCATGATTCAAACGATTTTTGCTAGGGTTTTTATTCAAGTGCTCTCCTAGGCAATGCTGAAGCAAGTTGCACGGATATTCATATTCGTTAACGCCTAGTGTTGGGCAAATGTTTTTCAACGTTTAAAGCAAATGTTATAGGCAATGTGCGCTGAGCTAGTAATGCAGAAGTGCATGAAAGGAATCACTGTGCTTTGTGCAGCAGCCCACCCATAAGCGAAGGTGTGCCATTAACTCGTAAGAACTACGCACTTCAAACGAAGTTTTCAGTTTTTCTGTCATGGCTATGCTCCAGAAACCTGTGAGAACAGTAGATTAGTGTACGCTGGTCAAGCAAGGGATCTTGCGGGCACGTTTATGAAGTATTACATGCTGTAGTTAGCTAGCTCCCTGAGAATATAATCTTCTCGCAAGTTAACTGATACTTTTTACTGCGCTGAAGGAAACGAGGGGCAAAGTTATTTCCAAGTCTGCGGTCTACAATTCGTTGTTGCAAAGCCATCATCAGATCTGCCAATTTTCCCTTGTATGCTGCTGCTGTTTTTCCACTGTATTGCAGGTCGTAAACAGTAACATTAAGAAGTTCAGCATTCGAGGCAAAACGTTGCAGACTGCGATAATTTCAAAATTTCTCATGTACTTTTGTTGTCCTTAAGAGCACTGTGTGTACTAGCAAAGCTGTGCCATGTTGTTCTATTGCGCTACAAGACAGCTGAAATGTCGCCTGCAAAGCTGGCATGTGACGAACTTACTGAAAGACTTCAGTGATTCCACTCCTGCGTCAAAGTGTGCCAAATCACTTACTGCACCATTCTTATAATATCAACAGAAACTGCTCCTAAGTTCGGGTTGAGGGGGGGTGCCTATCACCGGCAATAGCCACGCCAGCACGTGCAGCTTGTTCTTGAAGCCGCTCATGTTGCAGCCACGTACCAAGAATTATTCCACTGAATAAGCAGCAGTCGTGCGTGCATTCAAAGTAAACCACGATGCTATGCTTGGTGCCACAGCTTCTGTTGTGCTAGTTAACAAAACAGCAAAACACGCTCTTCACAGAGGCTCGTGGTGGCCAATCGGTAGCGTGTAAGCGTGGCGGCGATTCATTAGCAGACGTCCGTTTCATAAATACTGCTACTACCTCGTCTCAAGAGCCACACTGCGTATAATTAAGCAATTTTCACTGATAACTGTGTGTCGCCAAAATGCTGGTCGCATCTATTTCTGGACCTCGTGATCTAACTTTCCATGCTTTGTGCCCACAGAAGAACACGTGAACAGTGAGAAAGCGTGGGCACTTGAAATTTTCGGTATGCATGGATCTTCATCCAAAAGAGCTTTTTTATAATTCGATCTATAAGTACATCCGCATTTATTATAGCTCTTGCGCTAAATGCCCCTAAAAGACCTTACCGTTTCCAGCTTGTGAGTGCTAGGCTACGAATTAAAATTTTAAGAGCGAAGCTCCTAAAGCCGTGGCTCTGTACATCCCTTGTACGTGACCGCCTGGTTCTATGACGCAGGTGGTGCTAGTGTGACAGATGGACGCTTTGCCCCACTCATAAATATTCTCTCCATGGATATGCTGTGATTTTTTTTTTGTCTTTTTTTTAAATGCCTTCCCATTGTTAAAAGCATGGCTCCTGATCGGAGCAGCCTCAATTTAGTTTTTTTTTATATTATACACTCTGTTTTCAATAGTGGGCCCATCGCTAATGGCTGGTGTAAGGAAAGGACACAAAAGTGCTGTGCTTAGGTACGATTTGTGGCTAAAAGGACTTAAAAGCGCCGAGGGACGCCAAACCGAAACTGAAGAAGACGAGCGGAGGGCAGGTGGCACGAAGGCGATAACAAGAAAGGAAAAAGAAGAGGAGAAGCAGAAGGAGCGTGCGAAAACGAGCTCGAGCGAGGAGGCCACGAAGGCAGACGAAGCAGTGTGCCGCTCGAGAGGACGAGTTCCTGGGAGCGTTCCTGAGCCGGACGTGGGACCCGTACGTGTCGGCCAGGTCGAGCTCCGGTGTGTTCGCTCGGGGTCGAATACGCCGGCCGGTGCAAGGTGCAAGGACGGGGCCTGCTGAACGGCTCCTGCCTGGGTGCAGTGGCCGGGAGCAGGTTCGTGGGCGAGGCCTACCGGGCGTGGTCCTCGTGAGCCGGGGCCTGACCCTGAACCTCAGGAGTTGCGACCCTGACTGCTGGCCGCGACGTCTGACTAAACGGCGCTGCACACGGTAGCGCATCCGTGTGCCGTAAGCCGCTCCAGCCGTGCCACCTTTGCCCTCGCGCACGTCGACGATCGCATCATGTCGGGACGACGGGGACCCAAACTGTGAGGCAGCGTTTTTCTCTTGCGAACTGAGAACTCTACGCGCTGGACTCGGAGTAAGCGTAGCCGCGAGCTCTCCGCATGCTAGAGGTCTGACTCTCGTACATGTTGCGTGACGCGTGGCGTGTAGGGTTGGACATATAGTTTTATTTTCACCTGCCACTTCGTTCTCTAGTGTATAATATAACGCTTCTTTTGTTCGCATCCATTGTTGATGTTAATCCTTTTTCGTCCGCTATCAACAAACACAGTGACGAACGTCCTTAACCATCACAGCTGGGTTGTCAAAAGCCCCTTTGTAACGCGGCTACTCCATGTTGCGCATCCACTCCTTGCTTTCAAATAGCTGGAGGTTAAAAAATAACATTACAGTATCAAGTTCATTGCTGCACGTTGCTTCATTTTTTCTTTTTTTTGCTGCATCACTTGAGAGCGCAGTTGCTGGGGCTCGCTATCTCCAGGCGTCATGAGACTGCTTGTAAACATTCTGTGTCTCTCCTTTGCGTTTAGATAACTGACAACACGAAAACCACATCGGCACCGATAGTGCATATCGTTCCTTTAAGCAGCGTCGTGTAGAGCTATGCGATATTGGGTTCAAAGGATGCAATTTTACATCATCTGCGAGGAGCACTATCTGTGGGGTTGCCATTTCAAAGGTCTGCACACTCGTCCTACGCACGAAGGAGAACTTCCTGCATGCGCTGTATTCGATATCCGTACAGCAACTTGAATGAGTACAGCCCCCCCTGAACACCTCTTGCACGCTAATGCTTGTATAGTACAAACGGTGCGTACGTGTGGATCTCCGAGGTGGCGCGAAGAAGGTGAGGCACCCTTGCGATCAATGCGCAGTGCACACCCCCTATATGGCCGCTCCAGGAAGCGAAGTACGTACTTTTAAATGCGAAGCATTTTTTTGCATACTGCACGCGTTTTTGGCCTGTGTCTGCCTGCATACCTACCTGCCTGCCTGCCTGCCTGCCTGCCTGCCTGCCTGCCTGCCTACCTACCCACCCACCCACCCATCCATCCATCCATCCATCCCAGGGTTATATGGTGTGACAAAACAGTTTCCAAAACACAGTGGCGCACATGCACATTCTATATATACTCGGAAACTGCGAAAACGGATGTGGATAACGAACGTGGCGTTAAGAAAAAGCTCTTATTGGCTGCAGGAATCGAATCCTAGCATTGTGCAAGGCAAGGAAGTATTCTACCACAGAGCCACGGCAGGCATCACGTCGGGTTTACGTAAATTGTAGTTAGGTGCCATTTGCTGAAGTTGATTTGTGTAGCTGTGTTGAGGGCTACAGTGATGGAAGGGCGGCTCTATTTGCTCCAAACTGCTCGGAAAAAAATATGCTGCTCTATGCTGCTTCAAACACTGATTTTTGTTATTGATTGCTCCAAACCTGCTCCAAAATGGCACTGAGAGAATTAGAATGATTAAACTATACACCCAACTCATAAGCCCTAAAGAAAACGAAAAAAAGATGCTCATATAGCAATTGGCGGCAGCGGGGTACAACGACGCACAACACCGTGGTTGTCCCCCGCCGCTGGTGTCCGTAACCACT